CCATTGCGCCCCCCTCCCCCAAACACATTCAATCAGGCATCAATCAAGCCTGGTACCCTCTGCCTTGTGGCATGTTTCTGGAATCCTGGGACTTTGCAGGCCATGTCTGCTGTGTCTCAGACCAAAATCTCTCTGTTTCCAATTCATCTTCCACATGGTCATCAATTATTCTTCCTGAAGCAAAACCTGGCTTTACCTCTCTCTGGCTTATATAACATCCAATAGTTACCCACTGTCTGGATAAAATTTAATTCCTTAACAGTGTGTACACGATGCCTCTGTGTCCCTTCACCCCCAATCAAATTTCACCTCTTGGCTAACCTACTCTCTTAGCTGGCTGCTTTCTGACAAATGCCGGCCAGTTTTTTTCTTTAACACCTTACCCTAGAAGTGATTTCTTGATGTGCTATCTAGTACACGATATCAGTTAGAGAGATGTATGTCTGGAGATACTACTGAGTATCTGGGGACAGGGAGGGGGCAGACTAGGAGGATGCTGTGAAGGAGCAGCGCCCTAAAGTGGCACTGTGTTGGCCTTGCTCTGCATGCTGAGAGTGGAGCCCCAAAACCATGCGGTAGTACCAGGGAGTGGTTCTGGAGAATTATTCAGGTTTCAAATATTTTTAAAATGAAAAGATAATAGGGAAGATTTGTGTGTACTTTTGGAAATATTTCCTTTATTCTATGTTTGAAAGCTTTAATGTAAGGATTTGTTTGTTTGTTTTTTAATTTTCTGGTGAAATGTCTGCACTATCTATATGGATGAAATAATTTTAATACTTTCATACCTTCCCCACCCCAGCACCTTCTGTTTGCCTTTGCTCTCCCCTAATTGTCTTCATCTTATTTTTCACTTCGTTTCTTTTTCTGTGTTGTCAAAATATGCTTTTCTTCTCATTTAGGTCATGCTTTGAAAGTCTGTGTTGGCGGTTTTATTTTACTATCTTATTTTATCCTCACTAAAAGAATATAAACCATATCAGTCTGTTGTCTTGCCAAAAGGACTTCAGAATCTGAAGTCCAGAATAATATCCAGTTTCATCTCATAAATTTGGCTAGTATTTCAATCACAAATAATGTTGCTTTTCCAGAGTAAAGAAAATCTTTGATCTACTCTTCCCACCAAAGCACTCATTTGTCATAAGTTTCCTATTCTGAAAGTTATTGAGTCAGTTGGGATGGCAGCTGATTATTTGAGCAGCAAAAGAAGAGGTACCTTTATACTCTAAAACCAGTTCTCTAATGAGAACCATCCTCACCCAGCCACAACCCCACTCTGAAACAAAGGTCAAAATTAACTTCCTAATCCTAAATTCCAGGTACTGTGTTATTTTTTTAGCAGCAGGTAAAGGAAGGGATGATTCTAATCTACTTGTTTCTAGTAAAAAAAAAAAAAATACAGGGTTTTTTTTCCCCAGCAGTACATAGACAGTTTCATGAATATAATGGGTAGAAATGAAACTAATAGTAAGAAATATTGAGCTGATCAGACTCAGGAAGGTCATATGTTCAATTCCAACAGCTTCCAGAAGTCACTCTTTCTGCCCCTCAACTCCCACAAAGAACCGAGAAGTCTAAGGAGAAGCATAAAATTGACACACACAGTGTCTGTAGGTAGTTAGCATAGTTGAGTTGTTAATTGCTATTATTACTCAATTAGCTTCTTAGAGTCAAGAAGAATAGTCAGCCAACAAATCTTTATTGACAAGGAGGAAGGACTGTATCACCACCATACCATATTAGGTGCTGAGGAACGCAGTGGGAAAACAAGAGTTTACAGGCTGGAGAGTGTGATATTCATTCAACAAATTGTCACAATGTATTTAATAAATTCCAGAAATTTGCAAAGAAATTAATTGCAAAGAAATAAAATGGCCAAAATGGAAGCCCAACACATACACATATGCATGTGCGCACACACAGAACAGAGCTTGAAATGAATCTGTTTACTACCTCAAGTAACAGCTTTGTTAATTCGTAACCAGCAATATAAATAGCAGCTTCTATATAGAATTTATATGTACCCCTTTTCTATCATTGTTTATAGCTGCTGATAAGAATAAACAAATATGGGTTCTACTCTAACAGACAGAGTTAGTCGTTGAAGAAAATTTATTCAAAATGAGTGATGGTATGTGTTCTGATATGTGGCCACTGGAGCCAGATTGGCTTCTGTTCTTTACTCAGTCTACTACTTACTAATTCTTTCATCTTCGATACTGTCTCTCTAAAGTGAACATAAATAATCACATTAACAACCACACATGTTGTCATAAAGGTTGAATGAGTTAATACATGTAAAGCACTTATCACATTAAGTGCCTGCCACAGAGTAAGTGCTTTACACGTGTCACACACTGATTGGTTTGGTTCACATGCGTCTTTCTTTTAGCCAACTAACTGAACGCAATAACACTGAATCTCAATATTATTTTTTGAGTATATGGTATTTCTGTCAGAAGTATACCAGGGTAAAATTTAATAAGTATAGACAAAGGGGTCCAGAAATTTAATACCATGTTTGTTGTCTTTAAGGATGAATTTCAGTTAGAGTGTTTACTGATAGACAGTATTTTCAGATTCAGAATGTGACATTCACTCTGATACTCTTAGTAGTTAAAAACTGTAGAAGGTAGTCCTCATGTATGTTAGCTTTCTTTAGACTTATTTTCAGAAAATATATTTGTCTTGTTATCTGAATATATTGTGTCCCATTTAGCCTAATTGTGACAAATTAAGGAAGAAGATGGTAGAATATGAAAAGCTTACGGGAGCTTTTAATGTGTGTGTTAGTACAGGAAGACCTTGGAAAAAGTCCCAGGACTGAGAATCTGTCTCCTTCAACAGCAGGGAAAGAAGTGGCCACTGCACTCTGATCATTAAGAGAGTTTATTAAGGGACACTTACATATGAAGTGGGTCTTGGATGGCTTCAAGATAAAATGGATCCCTACCCCACTTGTCACATGCTAGAGAATTACATAGAACAAGGTGAGATCGTGACAGATACTAGTACATGAATGCCACCAGGTAAGAAAATTACTTCACCTGCTTGACCACGCAGGTCAGGACAATGGCCTGCTCCAGGAAACAGGGTAGCAGGAGGCAGGGGAAGGGGTTCTGGTAAGTCAGAATGAACATGGATTACAATCAGACAGTGTCCAAGGGGAGTTCGTGGTAAGGATCTCCTTTCTGGCCAGCCAGCTCATGCGTCAGACTGAGGTAATATCATGGAACCATCTCTCCTCCACAATGTGTAACACTGTAGAATATAAAGTTCTTCAGTGCTATTAATAGGTATGGCATCATGGACAGTTTTTCAGACTTGTGTTTCACTCTGGAGAAAGTATGGCATCTTGAATTTCTTCATTGGGTAACTTAGAACCCAGTTATGTGAATGCCAGCTGCACATATCACGTTACTTGAGTTCAGCATCAAAGTTATAAATGAACCAGTTACGTGTTCTTTCAAAGCTATTGATAGTCAAACATCCGAATAAACAAACTAGTATCAATAATTATGACATAAATCTTTTTATTAACTCTCTGGTTTGGGCTTTTAAAAAACTCATATATCCCTCACTGGCACGGCTCAGTGGATTGGGTGTCACTTCCGCAAATGGAGAGGACCCAGTGGGATTCTGATCAGGGCACATGCCTGAGTTGAGGGCCATAGCCCAGGGTTAGAGGACTGTGAGAGGAAGCAGATCTGTACTTCTCTCTCACATCTATGTTTCTCTCCCTCTCTAATCTCCCTTCCCTTCCCCTCTCTCTAAAAATAAATAAATCTTGTTTTTTTTGCCAGGTGGCAGAATTTTATAGTTTTATTAACACAAATACAATATGTACACAATCTGTCTATTCATTTCATTTGCTGTGCAGCCCGGTATTGGGGTTGGTGACTCTAATGGTCAGCTGGGCTGCTCTTCCCATAATGACTTTGTAGTTCTTTGAGGAGACGTTGTCTGCCATCTCAGCAAAATAAAATGTGTTGCACATCAGCAGCACTTCAAGCTCCTTGACGTTGTGAATCAGGAACTTTCAAAAGACACTGGGCAGCACGTGCTTTGTTTTCTTGTTGCTCCCAATAACCAGTGTTGGGCATCAAAACCTGGCTCTTCGATCTTCTGTGCACTCTATTGTCAGTATCTCTGGGTTTCCCCCAGTTCCACTTAATTTTGACATATTGTTCTGACTGGTACCAGTTGAACTTCTTGGCCCTGTGTTTGACAATCTTGGGTTTGACCAGGGGTCTGAGGGCAGCCATGGTGCCAAGTAAGAGATGGCTGTCACCTCCATAGCGCTGAGGAAGAGACACAAAGGTGGCGCACACGGCCTGATGCAACTAAATAAGATCTTTTTTTAGTTTTAAAAACTCATTTAAAATTCTTAGTTTTACTCTAGTTAAAAAGGCTATACTAGCTAATACATATGTGCTTACTATATTCCAGATGCTATACTAGTAAATTTTGATTTTAATGAAAAAACTATACTTGCAGCTTTTAAATAATACAGTAACTTCAAGGAGAAGAAAGTAGGGGCAGTACCAAAAACGTTTAAGTATGTAGAATCTACAGACCAGTGTTCTTTGCAGTTTTATGAACTAAAAACCTTGTAGAATTTTTTATTACTGTTTTAGAAAGGGGACTGGTGTTTTTCAAGGGATTATTTTCCACTTGGTCTGTCTCTGTTGTCTATTAACCAATAAAACAATTCTCATTCCGCTGCTGTGGAAAATAAGCAATAATGGAAAACTAATAATAACTTTAGCGCTTAATTCGCTTGCCTGCACAGCTAAGGTGTAGGGAGAGGAGTCTCCGATCGCCTTGTCCTTCCAAACGCTGCCTGCCCCTGCGCGGAGAACCTGCGGGTCCCAGAAAGGGCGGACCACGTTTCCCAAGCCGCTGGAGGCGGGGTCCCAGGGATGGGGGACCCATCTCCGGGGAGATGTGGAGTAGGCCTGCACGCACAACACGAGTTCTCGCGGCCTCTGGGAACGTGCGCAGGCGCGGGGTGCGCTAGAAACAAGCGATCAAGGTGGCGTTCGAGCGGAGTGCTAACAGGTCACCAGCTCTGGACTCGATGAGACCTGGAGAGGAGAAGCCCGTGGAGGGGGGCGCCTGCGGCGATGCCTTTGAATTGGAGCTGCTGAAGCTGCGCGCGGCGGAGCACATCGACAAGGCGGCGGAGCGCCTAGGAGCCCTGAGCCACGCAATTTGGAGCAAGCCCGAGCTGGCCTACGAGGAACACCATGCCCACGGCGTGCTAACGCGCTTCTTCCAGTGCGAGCCGCCGGCCGCCTCCTGGATGGTGCGGCCGCACTACCACCTGGCCACAGCCTTCCGCGCTGAGTGGGAGACGCCGGGGGTCCAGGCAGGACCGAGCCCGGTGCACCTGGGCTTTCTCTGCGAGTACGACGCGCTGCCGGGCATCGGGCACGCCTGCGGCCACAACCTAATCGCCGAAGTCGGGGTGGCAGCGGCGCTGGGCGTGAAGGGGGCTCTGGAGGGCCTCCCCGGGCCACCTCCACCGGTGAAGGTGAGGCGGGTCTGGGCGTGGAACTCCCATCACCTGCCCCGGCAGGTACCTACAGGGGAATGGCAGGACCTGGCATTCCGTGCGCACCTGTGTCCTCCTGCCCAAGGACAGGTGTAAGAGACGGCACTAGACAACCCAGCCTCGCCTCTGACGGAAGGCAGAACCCTGGATAAAACTTCAGCAGTTACCGATCTGGCGACACTGCAGTTTGGCGTTTCGCTCCCTCTTACGTAGGTGTAAAGAGTAGCATGAGTTCTCCCTTAGAAAAGAACTTAGAGCCCAGACTGTTTTTTAAAAAATATATTTTATTTTATGCTTTTGCAGCTGTCCCAATTTTCCCCCTTTGCCCCCCTCCACCTGGTAACCCCATTCCCTCCTGCAGTTCTGCCGCCGCGTGTCCCCCGCCCCCCAGTTCTTGTCCATAGGTCATGTGCATAAGGTCTTTGGCTACTCTATTTCCTACTCTGTTCTTAACAGCGCCCTATTCTGTACCTACCAATTCCTACTTTTTAATCCCTGAATCTTTCCCCCCATTTCCTCCCTCATCCCTCCCATCTGATAACTCTCCAAATGATCTCCATATCTATGATTCTATTCCTGTTCTGCTTAGTTTGTTTTTTAGATTTAATTGTTGATAGTTGTGAATTTATTGCCATTTTTAATGTTCATAGTTTTGATCTTCTTTTTCTTAAATAAGTCTCTTTAACATTTCATATAATAGTGGCTTGGTGATGAACTCCTTTAGCTTTCCTTTGGGAAGCATTTATCTGCCCTTCAATTCTAAATGGTAGCTTTGCTGGATAGAGTAATGTAGGTTGTAGGTCCTGATTTTTATCACTCTGAATACTTCTTGCCAGTCCCTTCTTGCCTGCAGAGATTCTTTTGAAAAATCAGCTGACAGTCTTATGGGAACTCCTTTGTAGGTAATTCTTTGCTTTTCTCTTGCTGCTTTTAAGATTCTCTCTTTATCTTTAACCTTTGGCATTTTAATTATGATGCGTCTTGGCATGGTCCTCTTTGTGTCCGTCTTGTTTGGGAGGCTGTGTGCTTCCTGGACTTGTATGTCTATTTCCTTCACCAAATTAGGGAAGTTTTCTTTCATTTCTTTTTTTCAAATAAGTTTTCAATTTCTTGCTCTTTCTCTTCTCCTTCCCACACCCCTATTATGTGAATGTTGGTACATCTGACGTTGTCCCATACGCTCCTTAGCCTCTCCTTGTTTTGTTTGGATTCTTCTTTCTTCTTGCTGTTCTGATTGAATGCTTTTTTCTCCCTTACGTCCCAAATCATTGATTTGATTCTAGGCTTCATCCAGTCCACTGTTGATTCCCTGTAATTTTTCTTTACTTCACTTAGTGTAATCTTCATTTCTGCCTGGGTCGTTTTTAAGCTGTTGAAGTACCAAATGAGCTCCTTGAGCATCCCAATAACCAGTGTTTTGGACTCTACATCTGAGAGATTGCTTCTCTCCATTTTGTTTAGTTCTTTTTCTGGAGTTTTGTTCTGTTCTTTCATTTGGGCCATATTTCTCTGTCTCCTCATTTTGGCAGCCTGTGTGTACTAGGGAGAGCTGCTTTGCCTCCCTGTCTTAGTAGAGTGGCCTATTGTAGAAAAGCGCACCAGTAAGTTGTAAGGGCGGAGCTTAGGTAATCCCCAGAGCAGGGCAGCCCATTTTACCAGGGGGATGGGTCTCAGATCTGGTGTGGCCGTTGTGTGGCTCTGTGTTGGGGAGGGCTCTGGAAGGGGCTAAAGCCACTGCCTGGCCTCTGGAGTTTTGCCCAGGGGGAAGCTGTCCCCTGGCACTCGCCCTGCTGCCAGACACTTCAGCTTCTCCCCGTGTGCCACTGGTGCTCTTCCAGCTGCTGCCCCAGTGTTGAAGCCCAAAGGGAATAAGTCTGTGGGCCCTAAGTCCATTGTGGGCCCTTTTAGAGGAGATGCCTGAGAATCCTGCAGTCTGCCCCAATCCCTGCTGACTTTTACAGCCAGAAGTCATGGAAACTTACCTTCCTGGCACTGGAACCCTATGCTGGGTGGTCTGGTGTGTGGCTGGGATCCCTCACTCCTGAAGTATCCCTGCTGATTTTATCCAACGCATGTGGGTATGGGACCACACATTTTGCCTCTCCTCCCCTCCTGCCTGTCTGGAGGAATGTGATTTCTTTAATTCCTTGGTTGTTGGACTTCCATACAGCTCGACTTTCTGACGATTCTGGGTGATAGTTGTTTTGTAGTGCAGTTGTAATTTTTGCTGTGATTGTGTGAGGAGGCAAGCATGTTTACTTAGGCCTCCATCTTGACTGGCCCAGCCTGGTTTTCCTTAGGGCCTATTTTTGGTAACAGAAGCCACTGCAATTTGCTGACTAGGTTGTGCAATCTCTGGTGGAAGAGGTTACCGTAGGGAAACATGCAGCCCCTCTTCATATTAGGCTCTCCCAAAATCTTTTGTTTGTGGCAGTCATAAGATATTATCAGTCATTAAAACTACCAAACCTCTAGAAATATACAAAACAATTGGAAAGTGAATGAACATTAACCACATAAATGAATTGATCTATGAGTTAAGGTTTATTAAATGGTTTTAATAAATAGTTCTTTAAATGGGGAAATGTTTATGTTTGTCAAAGGGCAAGTTTAATCTTGTGTTACTGTTTTCCCAGGTGATATGTTCTTCATTCTGTGAGCTAAGACACAGTCATCACCATTCGGGTTAAGGGGAAGACTAAAGTTTTATTCTTTAGCCCATTTTTTCCAGTGCCAGTAACCTTTCACTTTTACCCTAAAATTTCCAGCTTTTGTGACTTTTCCTGTTTAGCTGCCTTTTCTTTTCTGCCCCTGGGGGTTTGTTTTTGCATCTGGTTAGGTTTTTGTTTTGGTTGGGATGGGCCATCCTTTGCCATTGCAAGAAACACTGTAGAGATGTAGCTTTAACTGGGTCTATGAGAAGTTCAGAGAAGTCAGCAAGATTTAACTCGAGAAGATATCAGATACATGATCTTGAAAATATATTAGTTGTTTATAGATCATTTTTCTTTGCTTTAAAAATTATTTGAAGAAGTTCAACTTAAATATCAAATTAAAACGTTGATTCTGCAAAGTTCTTTTTTGTTTAATTAGGTGTTTGGTGACCAATAAATCTGCCTGGTTGAACTGTTGTATTCGAATTAGTAAGTTTGTGTAATAGTTGGCTGTTTCTACCTGTGGCCTTAAGATTTATTTTTAATGCTCTTCATAAAGGATTAATGAATTAAGGTCTTTTAATGAGGTAGTTCAGTAAGGAACAGGTCTGAACCTCTAATCCCAGCTCTCCCTGAAGACCTGCTCTGAAGACCTCCTCTAGGGCAAGAGTAGACACTTCATCCTGTGCCTCAAAAGCACCCTCCCTAAAATAATGATACAGATCACTCACCTACTTCACAGGGTTGTTGTGAGGGAAATTAGGAAGTAACTGGAAAGTTCCTTATGAATCAAGTGCTTTTGAATAATTACAGACATACACTAAAAGACTTAGTCAAGAAGACGCTTTAAGAAATGAGTCAAAGAATTTTGAGGAACTTAGTGTGTAGTATTTATCTTTTTCATCTGTGTCAGTAGTTATATAAAATTGAGTTGTAAAATTAGGGAAAGTTTCCTGTAATATCTTTAGTACTTTATACCAAATTGTAAAATAATGTAAATTAAAACTTGTGATTACTTTAGTGCCATAGATTTATGCCCACTGCATTATTTAAGTGTTAGAGAACAAAACATCTCTCCATAGTTTAAGCACTTTAATGTAGATTGTGAATACATATGCAAGAGAACTAATCTGATATTTTCCTACTAGGATTTTTTGTTGCTTTGTTCTGACACTAGGTAATTGTCCTGGGAACCCCTGCAGAAGAAGACGGTGGTGGCAAAATTGATTTAATTGAAGCAGGGGCTTTTAAAAATCTTGATGTTGTTTTTATGGCCCATCCATCCCAAGAGAATGCTGCTTATCTACCTGATGTGGCTGAACATGAGTAAGTAATCAAGTTGAAATAAACTTCTTAGTGGAAAACAGACTATTAGAATACCGTAATGTCTTTTCTTTTCTTTTTTTAAGAAGAACATAAATATATTGTCTCATTCTGGAGATGTGAAGTCTGAAATCAGGTGACAGGGCCAAGGTCCATCTGAGACCTGTAGGGGAGGATCCTTCCTGCCTCTTCCAGCTTCTGATAGCCCCTGACATTCCTTGGCTTGTATCAGCATAATTTTAATCTCTGCCTCTGTCTTCACATGGCCTTCTCTCTGTATCTTCATATCATCTTTCCTCTATGTCCCTAGAATACTTTTATGTCTTAACTGGAAACTAAAAACTCCGTATTTATACATTTAAAAAGTACATTGAGCCCTGGCCAGGTGGCTCAGTTGGTTGGAGTGTTGTCCCTTACACCAAAAAGTTGCAAGTTCCATCCCTGATCAGGCATGTACCTAGGTTGTGGATTCGATCCCTGCTCCAGGCACATACCAGAGACAACCAGTCAATGTTTCTCTCTTATGTTGATGTTTCTCTCTCTCTTTCTCCCTTCCTCTCTAAAATCAAGTTAAAAAAACAAAACATATCTTCGTGGGGATTTAAATAAATAAATATATAAATAAAGTGAATTGAAAGATGATACTATGTCTTCATTTTCATTGAATCATCTGTTAAGCCTCTTTTAACTGAGATCTCATATGATAGTCATAATTAGACTATTAAAATAGTGCCTAAAAAGCATAAGAATAGGAAATAATATGTTGACACTTATGTTCTATTTTTAACTGAGCATAATCTGGTTCCTGGAAAATAGCTTTTGGTATGGCTTATGAGAGACAAGTTTATTAGACTTGGGAAAAAAACACACTTCTCTAGTTTACTTATTTTACTTTAAATTCTTTGCAAAAAAGATAAATTCCTGAGCGAGAGTACAAAGCTGATTAGCTGTGGAATTTGATGATCTATGTTTTTCTGATGTGTCTGGTGCTAAAAGGATTATTGATCGTTTGCTATGTTGAAAAGCTCAATTTTTGGGGTATGTAGGACCATGCATTATTGAAGTTGTTTGAATTTTGTGGACCAGAAATTTCAACCATGAAGCCTTGTTTTCAGAGGGTGACTGTTAAAACTGTTCTGGTATCTTTGTTGTTATCACTGGGAATTGGTGCTGTAACAGTAGGAAGAATCTTTCAACTTTGGTTTCAAAGATAGAGTACACCCATACACCTCTGGAAAACCTTAGTGATTTGAAGTCTCTGCCAGGGCCTCTGGCTAGAGGGGGCCTGCAGGTGCAGGCAGGCTTCCCAGCCCACTAACGTTCTAGGATTTAGAGTTAGGCTTCTTGACCTTGATCCTAAGTCAGTGTAGTTGGCTTCAGGCCTATTCTTAGTGTCTGGCTTCTTAGATTTTTTTTATTGGCCATCTTTTGAACAAGATGGAAATGAGAACAAGAACAAAAATTAAAATTTTAACAATTATCTGTTCATCCTAAAAATCTCTAACAATAAATAAGATGTTCCTATTGACCACCTTTCCCACATCTAGTCCTTTTCTAGAGGTCTGTATCCTTTCAGGACTTTGGGGTGTATTTATAGACATAAGGAGGTACATGTATAAATTAAATTTTAAAAGAGGGTTTACACCTAAAGTGTTCTGCCAAATAAGTTGTTGACCTGGTTATTGCTTTTTAAAATTAAGCAGTCTTGAAAATTATTCCATACCATTTGGTTTAAATATATGCTTTTAAAGCCCAAAATACTAGCACGGATACAAAACATTAGCATTTATTTTCTTGTAGTTTATTGTGCTTTAATTGTATGTAGACCTGAACCGTGGAAGAAATGGTGCTAGAGTTATTTTCATAAAGGACATCCTTTTCCATTCTCTAAATTTATCACTGTTTCATTAAAATTCCAGTTTCAGGGTGATGGTGATAAGATGGTATCAAGGAAATAACAAGTATTGTAAAATCTTAAAAATATATTTGGTTGCTTTTACTTGTTTTTGTTTTCCTAACAGAATGTGTGGAATCAGTCAGGAAATTCCATGAGCACATAAGCGGTCTAAGGATTCCTGAATCTAGCCCATTTAAAAAAAAAAAAAAAGGTGTGGCTTTTTATCATTTAAATGTAGGTACTATTAATCAGTTGGGCTTTAAAATATTTTCTAAGCAAGGCATCTTTGTAAATAACTAATATGCAATCCTCACACTCAGTGTGTTTTTTTAATTGTATCTGAGTAGTTAGACTGGTATGAGAACTCTGAAGGTATCGGTGATAACATATTTTGGAACGTTAAGAAAATGTTGTTCAGGAACAACTGACTAAATACTAGAGTATCTTACCGTGTGAGTATAATCTGATTTTCAGAGTTTGTCCCAATCCATTTTAAATGTTGCCTTTCTCTTTTCTTGACCTTCCCCCACCCTTGAGACAGAATTATCTGCATTTTCGCTGACCTTTGGTGTGGGACTATCATAATGAAGTATAGAAGGAGATAGGAGTCATCTTTTTTGTAATTCCAACACCTAATACAGTATTGTATATTTGTTTGAATTGAATTGTGTACAAATTTAATTTGTATAGTTGATTGATCACAGTTTCTCTTTTTCTCTCTTTTTTTGGAATGCCTTCTTTGTGTCAGTCAACGTATTATATAATAAAATACTACAATAAGCTGCATAAGTTGCTGTTACTGCTGCAAATGATTTTCAAATAAAAATTCTAGTAGTGTGAATTAATTTGAATACTAGTTGTGTAATTCTGACTACTGGGATTTTCTTACTTTAGTGATATTGAAAAAAGTAATTCCAGATGCTGTTTTATTTCCTAGTGTGACTGTGAAATACCATGGAAAAGCAACTCATGCTGCTGCTTATCCCTGGGAGGGAGTCAATGCATTAGATGCTGCTGTTCTTGCATACAACAACCTGTCTGTGTTAAGACAGCAGATGAAACCAACCTGGAGAGTTCATGGTATGAATGTCAGATAGTTTGTGTAATAGGTGGTGCTCAACATACTTTAATACAATATAATTACTAAATATGTGATTTTTTTTAAAAATTGAAAGCATTTTATGTACTTAATATGAATATTCCAAAATATGTAAACATTGTCAGAAATTGCGTAACAGGATCCGAGGATGTTTGTCTATTTGTGGGTAAGAAGACAAATAAGATTATTATTAAACAGAAATGGAGCCCTGACTGGTGTAATTCAGTGGATTAGATGTTGTCTTGCAAACTGAATAGTCGCCAGTGTGATTCCCAGTCAGGGCACGTGCCTGGCTTGATGGCCAGGTCCCCAGCCGGGGGCCTGCAAGAGGCAACCAGTCAATATTTCTCTTGCATATCGATATTTCTCTCCCTCTCTTTCTCGCTCCTTTCCCCTCTCTCTAAAAATAAATAAAATCTTTAAAAAAAACAACAGAATGGAATGGTCATTTTGAGTATTAGAAGTCAGAAGGTTTATGTAAGGGCCTATGTTCTTTCTGTGGTCATTTCAAAATAGGAACTTGATTTTCCAATTATCCTGTCTCTTACTGGTAACAAAATGTGGTCATTTCTTCAATTTAAAAAAGTTATGGTTACTGGTTTTATTTACTCAAGTGCTGTTAATCCTAAGTAGCGTCTTTTAAAAATTATGTGTATCACCTTAATATAAATGTAGTAATAAAGTGCTGTCTTGAAGGTACAAATTTATTTTTAGTTTATTTTCTTATGATTAGGGAAATTATAATATCTCAATACTTTAATATCTAATTTTACCTGATTTTACTATAGGCTTAAATTAGTTTGTAATTAGGCTTTTACCAACCTCCTACCTTAGTTTCTTTAAAAGGAATGAGCAGGAATATGTTTAAAAATTTTCTAATGCATATAAATTATATTATCTTTTCAGATAAAATTAGATTTTGTATATCTATTTTAGTTATAATTTTGAATGGACAAATCTTCCTTTGTGTAAGTCCAAGTAAAATTTGTTTTAACAGTTCATAGTACTTAGTGATCTTTGACACATTATCTTCTTCTTGGCATGAACATTATTTTCCCAGAGCCAAATGCCTTTTAAAATACGGGATTCTTGAAGTGCAAGGGTAATTATAGAACTTTACACCATCAGATTTTTTTCTCTTCTCATGTGAAAAGTTTATCAAAATGTACAACTGTAATATAAGCTACTGAAATAAAAGTATTTTCCAGAAGGCTTAATATAGTTATAAAATTTCTAACAGTTTTTTGTCATCAGGAATCATAATTTCTTATAAATTCCCTAGAAAAAGTACATATATACAATTATTTCTTTTCCTATTAGCCAGAAAGTATCACCCTATGATACATAGAACCTTTTGTTATACAGCAAAATCTTTGATTGGTATACCTGTGAAGCAAATAAGTTTAAATTACTTTTTTATGCACATACTGGCTGAAAAACTTTATGGGTATATTTAAGCTTAAAGAAATGGTCTCAAAGCTCCAAGTTCAATTCCAGTAATTTGGTTCTTTTTTATAGGTATAATAAAAAATGGTGGTGTAAAACCCAATATCATTCCCTGTTATTCTGAATTAATCTATTACTTCCGTGCACCTTCAATGAAAGAACTTCCAGTTTTGACCAAAAAGGCAGAAGATTGCTTCAGAGCTGCAGCTTTGGCTACTGGGTGCAGAGTAAGAACTTTTAAGAGTTAATCTATATTATAATTAGAGGTATATATGTAGGCTGGGATTGTTTATATTAAGCTAGATTAGCACCTTGCTGCTTTTTCACTTGGTGATGTCTTAAATATGTAAAGTCAGTTGTCTGAATGTTGATGTGAAAGCCTTCATTTATTTTACTCAGTGTCTGCACAGGGCAGACTGTGGTCATCATATCACACAGTAATTGGAATAACTCTGACACTGCCAAGTGGAATTCTTGCCTTTTTGCAAGTTATATCCTTCCTTATTAGTTATGCTTTTAGAATTGCTCTACTTAGCTTCTATAAAGGAGATTTTATGGCAAAATCAGCAAAAGCTATTTTTGGAGAAGTTCTAGATATGTATAGTAGAAATAGAAATACCTTTGGTTTGCTGGAATGAGAGTTAAAATAGACACAGAAGTTAGTCAAGAAGTTTTGTACATGTGCACCATGAAGTCAGGAACGTTTATGTACCAATTATACGTGGCACACAGTGGGATGAGAAGTTACAGAATGGCATCAATTTTGCCCTGCTGGCAACCAGCGGTCTAACTGGGGAGACAAGATCTGGACTTGTGCCTCTCAGCCTCACTGATCCAGTAACTTTCGGAAACACTAGTTAGTATCTCTTGGCCCCCATTTTCTCAGTGGAAATGGAGATAATATAACCTATCTTAGGGTTCTTATGAGAATTAAATGAGGTAATGTTTATGAAGAGTTAGGGTCTAACCCTCATACATAACATAATACCTCATTTTTTTCTGCCCTCACTAGACTGGAGGTATACGATTCAGATAAGCAGCAGGGTCTCAGACAGTAACAGTGATTCTCAGCCAGGATATGTTAAGTGTCCAAAGAGTAAAAAATTAAGCATTTATCCCTTGTTTGTTTATAATTATAAATATTCTAAATATTTATTTGTAAAATAAATACATGAACAGTTATCGTTAGGTAGTATTTCAAGATATAATATTCCCTTAAGGTAAGATTCATTGTTACTGGATTTAAATTCATATTAATAGTCTTTCAGTAACTTTATATTTTGGCTGACTTGTAATATCTGATTAACTTACGAGGTCTGTTCAGAAGGTATCCAGCCAAATAATATGAAAAATAAAGACATTTATTGAAGAAAGTACAAGAGACAAGAAACATTGTGCATAGGGCAATGACGCCTCAGTCCCCTTCAACAGAGGCACCTTGAAACCTCACACAGTTCTCCCAATTGTCATCAACCTGGCCCTTCATATTTTCCTGAATCTCATCAATGGTCTTAAATTTCTTCCCTTTCAAAGGTGATTTTTATTTTGGGAAAAGCTAGAAGTTACAGGGTGCCAAATCTGCGTAGGGCTGAGTCACCTGGGTGATTTGATGTTTTGCCAAAAATCTCTGTACTAAACATGATGTATGAGCAGGCGCATTATCATGATGAAGCTGCCAGTTGCCCATACCTGCAGCCTTTAGAATCATCCAAATAGTTTCCTCAGAGGAAGGTTCAAGCTTAAAATGAAATTTGATGCAAATTTGTTGTTCTACTCGCTCAGTCATTTTGAATGTGATAGCCACACAGTACACATGCTCACTCAGTGGCATCTACCGCCCCACTGACGAGTACAGTGAAAGCATCATTGTTCACACTTGGGTATTCCAGACCACTCTCTGTGGATGCCGGGTTACATCAATGTCACACAAATCATTCTCATTATATTTGCAATGGCTGGATTTTTCCAGATAAACCTTGTAGATATTGCTAAGAATAGAAGAAATGTCATCTCTGCCATTTTATAAGTGGCTTATGCTAATGTTCTAAGCGTTATCTTTAGTTTGAGGGCGTAGTGTCCATTTTGATTTAATCAAAACTAAATGTGTAAATTGTGAAGAATCTTCTTTCTCTCAGGATACCTTTACACCTTTCAGACCAGGCAATGGTGTCTTTCATTTTGTACATTGAGTATTAGTAAAGTTTAATTTCTTTCTTGTAGAGGCTACAGCCGAGAGCAGTGTTTCTCAGAGTGTGGTTTTCTAACCACCTGCATCAGAGTTACTTGGGGGTGCAGGTTGGATCGGAGATTCCTGCCCCGCCCCCCCCCCACACCCTACTTAGGTGATTGAAGTTGAAACCCACTGGCTAGGATAGGTAGGGAGCATCATGTGGTTTGGCACATACATAACAAAGGAGATAGTCTTAGGAACTGTTGTTGCAGAAGAAACATTTTTGTAAGGTAAGAGATTTGAAAGAGTTTATATCCAGAGGGAAAGCATCCCCTCTTAACCTCTTTATATTAAACCATTGTTGGTTTGAAATGTAGATAGTGAACTTGAATTTTTATTTAAAGTTTTTTTTAATTTTTTTATTAGGTAGAAATTAAAGGTGGAGCACATGATTATTACAATGTCCTTCCCAATAAAAGCCTAAGGAAAGCTTATATTGAAAACGGGGAAAAGCTGGGAATAAAATTCATTTCAGAAGATGATGCAGTTTTGAATAGCTCTTCAGGTAATTAAGTTCTTTATTGTGCTATTTGAGGAAGGGACATATTTCACTGAATGGTTTTACCTAACAGCTTGAGGTATTGCTGATGTTTTTAATGATATTTTTCACAAATTTAATGGCTAGGGGAAAGAAAGTAATAAACTTCAGTAAATGTAGACTGTCAAATGAGCAGATTTGTTTTTACAAATAGCCAAAATACTTTTTGCTTTATATTCTAAACATTTCTAGTGTTTAAATGTGCTTAGTTCTAATTTTTTATTTTTCAATTACAGTTGATGTACAATATTATATTAGTTTCAGGTGTATAACACAATGATTGGATATTATATAACTTACTAAGTAATCACCCCATTTCAAAAACAGTTTTAAGTAAGCTACTAAAAGGGGAAATAGAATTTTAATTAGTTCTTAGTCATAAATATGCAGTCTCCTAAGTACTTAGTTATATGGGATCATTTTCAGTTTCTGAGAAGTAACACATAACTATTAAAATTTAAATAATCATGAGTGTATTAGGGGTTATTTTAGATATTTTTAAAGCCTTACTAATACATTTGCATCTTAGAGATTTATCTCCTAAAATATAATAATACATGTTGATGAAGTAGACTCAGAAAGACTTGGTGATAAAAATGGGGTGCCAATGTCATTTATTAAGAGGAGTTCAAGAGAATGAGCAGGTTGGGGTCTGGGGGGTTGGCATAAATGATTAGTATGTTAAATTTGAGATGCTTACAGGATTTCTAAGGGGAGTTGTCCAGTAGCTTGTTGAATCTGGAACTCCCAGAAGATGTCTAGGTTGGAGGTTTAGGAGTTGTCAGTATCTGAAAGGTAATTGAAAACAGTTGATGAGGTTGCCAAGGAAACCCTTGGTATCAATCACTAGCACTTAGGAGATAAGAAAAGGAAGTGATCTAGAGAAGGAGACAGCAGTCACAGAAAGCCAGACAATCGGGAGAGACTAGGAGCCAAAGGGGTAGAGTATTTCTAGAAGGGAAGGAGCAGTAAATCATGCAGGTGCTAAAAAGAAAGAGATTGAAAGGCAAGTATGGTCTAGTATCCACTGGACTAGCAATTAGATATTCATGGGTTGTTTTACCTTTCCAAGGATCTACTGATTTTGGAAATGTTAGTTTTGTGGTTCCTGGGATTCATCCATATTTTTACATTGGATCTGATGCCTTGAATCATACAGAACAATATACTGAAGCTGCAGGTAAGTTTTATTAGAATTAGAATGTTTTAGTATGTGCACTCTTTTTTGTAGTAGTAGCTTCCTTTCTGATTGTTTACTTTAGTCTATTATTATTACAGTACCTAACATCACCTCAGAAAGCACTATATGTCGTGGGTGATAGAGAGGCAACTTAGATATTGAGAGCTAACTTGAAAACTAATACATTAATTTATAATTAATAAGGAAGTATTTTAATTCATTTCCTCTACTTTCTAGGATCACAAGAAGCTCAATTCTATACTTTGCGTACAGCCAAAGCTCTGGCAATGACTGCGTTGGATGTTATTTTTAAGCCAGAGTTGCTAGAAAGAATCAGAGAGGACTTTAAATTGAAACTTCAAGAAGAGTTTTTAAATAGAGTAGAATAAAAGGAAGACTTAGGAGCCACTTATGGATCGTTAAGAAGTGGTGATGATTATTTTTTCCTGTTATCTTTTTTGATGAAGGAGGAAGGCATGCTTGATTTTCAGTCTTAAAAAGAGTCAAATTTCTCTTTCCTGAAAAGTGAGGACATACTGTGCAAGCCCAATATTAATTTTGAAGTACTGTAAGTTTTTTCTGATTCTTATTTTAGTGTGAATTTCTTGAACATGATAAAAGAATGTGAAAAAAAGTATCTGGTAAAGCAAATACTTTAAGTTGTGAATATAGTAAAGCCTCGGAATACTTTATTTTAAAAGGAGTCCTCAAATTTGAAGGTAAATATTCCAAAATGAAGGGGGAAGGAAAGAAAAGTGGTCATTTGGCTTCTCTGCTGTAAGCACGTCACTTGGACCCCTCTGAGCCTTCATTGCTCCATTTGGGAAGTTCACCTGGTACCCTTACAGTCCTTTGAACCTCTCCTCTAATTCTTAATAGTTTGGGGGAGTGTTGCTTCTTGGAAATTGTTTATCTTCTATATCAGGTTTCTTCAAACTACAATCTGATTTGGCAAGCAGCCTGATTTTTTACAGCTAGCATGCTAAAAATGATTTTTACGTGGTTTAGGAGGAGTAGGGAAGAAACAGACCATATTATGTGACCTCAAAACCTGAAAATACTGTCAGGTCCATTACAAAAAAATACTTTCCAGCTCCTCTTCCTATATAACAGTAAAATAAAACCTGTTTCTCTTTGATTGACATCATCTAAGCTGACATTCTCCTAGGATAAAACTTCAAGCCTCTGAACTGAAAACACTGAGTAAAGGGATTTAGATGGCAGTGCCCTGACTGGACCATTACAGTGCAGCAGTGTGTCCTCATGGGAGTTTTCAGAATCTTGCTTTCTTTTAGCAGTTACGTCTGGGATGCAGCTACCCTGCCACATTAAGACTTTGCCTTATGAAAACTAATCTTCTAACTTTTCATCTCAACTTTTGGAACTTTTGGAAGGATCAACTTTTAATCCTTCGTGCCACCTCTTGTCTGATTATTTATAATCTCAAAAAGTGATGGTTAGTATATATTTTATATAGAGGGGAGGGATCAACAAAAGCCTCACACTGAGCATTTTTGTTTTCTAAAGCCTTGATAACATTCTAAAACAATGGCTATTAACTGGTATCTTAACACACTAATACTCTCCCGTCCTTTGTGAAGTATCACAAGTTAATTGTTACTCATATAAAGTATTCATATTTTTCTTGTGATTACATTATTTTTTAGAAACAAATTAGAGAAAATTCAAGATTAGCATTCTAGAGACTTCCAATCAAGATGGACCTATAGGTAAATATGGACTGCCTCCTTGCACAACCATAGCAAATATTACAACTAGACTACAAAACAAGTATCACCCAGAATTGTCAGGAAATCAAGCTGTATGGAAGTCCGACAACCAAGGAATTGAAGTCACATTCATCCAGACAGGTAGGAGAGATGAAGACACAAAATGCGCAGTCCCACACCCACATAAAATGGATAAAAATTGGAAGGGATATCTTGGGAGCAAGGGATCCCAGCCACACACCAGACCACCCAGCATAGGGTTCCAGTGCCAGGAAGGTAAGTTTCCATGACTTCTGGCTGTAAAAGTCAGCAGGGATTGGGGCAGACTGCAGGATTCTCAGGCATCTCCTCTAAAAGGGCCCACAATGGACTTAGGGCCCACAGACTTATTCCCTTTGGGCTTCAACACTGGGGCAGCAGCTGGAAGAGCACCAGTGGCACACGGGGAGAAGCTGAAGTGTCTGGCAGCAGGGCGAGTGCCAGGGGACAGCTTCCCCCCTGGGCAAAACTCCAGAGGCCAGGCAGTGGCTTTAGCCCCTTCCAGAGCCCTCCCCAACACAGAGCCACACAACGGCCACACCAGATCTGAGACCCATCCCCCTGGTAAAATGGGCTGCCCTGCTCTGGGGATTACCTAAGCTCCGCCCTTACAACTTACTGGTGCGCTTTTCTACAATAGGCCACTCTACTAAGACAGGGAGGCAAAGCAGCTCTCCCTAGTACACACAAACAGGCACAGGGAGGCTGCCAAAATGAGGAGACAGAGAAATATGGCCCAAATGAAAGAACAGAACAAAACTCCAGAAAAAGAACTAAACAAAATGGAGAGAAGCAATCTCTCAGATGTAGAGTCCAAAACACTGGTTATTGGGATGCTCAAGGAGCTCATTTGGTACTTCAACAGCTTAAAAACGACCCAGGCAGAAATGAAGATTACACTAAGTGAAGTAAAGAAAAATTACAGGGAATCAACAGTGGACTGGATGAAGCCTAGAATCAAATCAATGATTTGGGACGTAAGGGAGAAAAAAGCATTCAATCAGAACAGCAAGAAGAAAGAAGAATCCAAACAAAACAAGGAGAGGCTAAGGAGCGTATGGGACAACGTCAGATGTACCAACATTCACATAATAGGGGTGTGGGAAGGAGAAGAGAAAGAGCAAGAAATTGAAAACTTATTTGAAAAAAAGAAATGAAAGAAAACTTCCCTAATTTGGTGAAGGAAATAGACATACAAGTCCAGGAAGCACACAGCCTCCCAAACAAGACGGACACAAAGAGGACCATGCCAAGACGCATCATAATTAAAATGCCAAAGGTTAAAGATAAAGAGAGAATCTTAAAAGCAGCAAGAGAAAAGAAAAGAATTACCTACAAAGGAGTTCCCATAAGACTGTCAGCTGATTTTTCAAAAGAATCTCTGCAGGCAAGAAGGGACTGGCAAGAAGTATTCAGAGTGATAAAAATCAGGACCTACAACCTACATTACTCTATCCAGCAAAGCTACCATTTAGAATTGAAGGGCAGATAAATGCTTCCCAAAGGAAAGCTAAAGGAGTTCATCACCAGCCACTATTATATGAAATGTTAAAGAGACTTATTTAAGAAAAAGAAGATCAAAACTAAGAACATTAAAATGGCAATAAATTCACAACTATCAACAATTAAATCCAAAAAACAAACTAAGCAAACAAGCAGAACAGGAGCAGAATCATAGATATAGAGAGCATTTGGAGGGTTATGAATTAGGAGAGGGAAGGTAGAGAACTGGGGAAAAGATGAAGGGATTAAGAAGTACAAATTGGTAGGTACAGAATAGATTGGGTGATGTTAAGAGCAGTACAAGAAATGGAGTACTGCTCTTAACATCCAAAGAACTTACATGCATGACCCACGGACATGAATTAAGAGGGGGGCGGGTGGAACAGAATTGTAGGAGGGAATGGGGGTATCGGGTGGAAGGGGACAAAGGGGGAAAATTTGGGAAAACCATAATAGCATAATCAATAAAATTATGTTTTAAAAAAGATTAGCATTCTATTGCTTCACTTGCATCTGATAATTATCTTTGTGTGAGAGGGCAAGTGGTGGCATTGCGGCTGGCACGCTGGAAACGCCATGACTGCTCCACTGCTGCGTTCACGGTGAGGAGCTAATATTGATGTGCCACTAAGATTTGGGTCACTTTTGAGTTTCTGTAATATTTTTCAAGTTTTGAAAAATTGGCCCAAATAAGCTTTTACCCATTGGAATATGCCATGGAATTATGTTGCGAAAGAGGTTGAAAATTGATGTTCTGGAGTCTATCCAGAAGTATGAGTTTTTTCAGATCTTTATTGACATTTTCTATTATTTTACTTTAACAGTTTTTTAATATAATTCAGATTTTAAAGTAGCTTTTTACTTTTCATATCCCAGCAAGTTAATTGAACTCTATTACACTATGAAGTTTAAATAAATACATAAATAAATGCTGGAGTCAGATTCTCATGTCAACCATCTGTAGCAAACCTTCATTACGCCATTTGAATTAGGACAGTCCTTCCTTCTGCAGTGAGAGTTTCTCCTTTTGGAACTAAGTTCGTACTTTTTTTACCCTCATACTCCAGTGGCATGTTTTCTAAATAATTGTGCTAAATTTTCCTAAATGTTCATTCTTAGGTTAAATTATCACTGTTGGTTGGTTGCTCAGTTGATTGTCACATTTTCTATTACATTTCCAAAGATTTTAGAAGAAAGAAGCATTAGACTATAGGTGAACAGTGTCACTTTTAGAAGGGTTATATTTAGCTCTTTATTCTTAAGAGATGAATGCTTATTTTTAGAAAGTTGATAAATGAATAGGACTTTTACAATTTATAATTTTGTATCTGTTCTTGAGGAAGGAGCAACAAAGGTTTTCCTCCCAGAATTAGATTGAGAGAGAGAGAGAGAGAGAGAGAGAGAGAGAGAGAGAGAGAGAGTGTGTGTGTGTGTGTGTGTGTGTGTGTGTGTGTGTAATGTTACTCTTCCACCAGATTATATATTTTTGGAGCCAGAGTCTTTTCAATTTACTTAATGTGTTTCAGGTACACCAAAACCTGACTCAGGAAAAAAGGGCCAAGCTGACTTAGTGCAAAGTTTAAAATTACATGATTTTTAAAATACTAAATTAGTTTCTGACCTAAACTAGAGGTATTGGTGGACCTGCTTGAGGTGTCTTTGTTTTTATGGAAAATGCTTTTATTACATACCTTTTGCAAAGCCATTTTCTCAAATATCAACTTTTAGCTATTGATGTTAAAAGGTATGCCCAAATTAATTATTTAAATTTAATTACAGATTGAAAATGTTTTCTCTTTAGTGATGTAATTTTAAAAGCGGTCTTGAATGTAGGGCATGTATAAAATAATCATGTGGTACTGTTAATAACTAAGTTGCTATTTCTCAAATAAGATGGAGTATAGCTAATATTTAGCTTGCCTCTTAAAATTTCAGTCTGTTTTTCAGTTTCAACAAACTATTCTTATTATATGAACGCCTCAGGAAATTTTTCTCTCAATTGCTTTTCCCTATGACACTCACAAGGGCTGGGACATTTAGGATAAACTAGGACATTCTCCTGTGTTTATAAATACTTGTATAAACTGTTTTGATTTCCCACAATCCTCAAGGACTATTTATTTATTATTATATTGGTAGTTTAACTGTTACTTTTAACAGTTGAGTTCAGTGACCATTTATTGAGGAGTGCCTACTTCTAAGTTCTGGGGGGTAAAAAGAAGAGTAAGCCCTGGCCCATGCCCCTGATAGCTTGTGGTTTGTGGTGAGTTCTCATAAGATTTACTTCATCTGAACAACGCTGGGATGCAAGCAACATTTGAAAGCTACGGTCCTGGAAATTGTGAGGAAGTCTTTAGAACATATTTTAAAACACTGGAGTCATGTCCATCTGGCCAGAAAAAAAAATTGATACAAAAAGTCTTTTTTTAAAAGAAAAATTGTCTAATTGTATAATATACTCTTAAAAAAACTTTCTGA